ATTATAAATAAATGAATTCTTTCAATATTAATATTGTATTATAATATAAACATACGTTTTGTAATGTAGATAAAATTGAATAAATTAAGAGTTCTTCCGCACATACATGGTCTGTTATAAACATTACACTTTTAATTAAATAAATATTAATTTTTCTGTCTAATAATAAATATAAAAATAGAATAACAATCTTTTGTCAGTTAGGTAAAAATATAGTTTGTCAATTGGGTAAAAACACATCATGATCAGCAAATTAAAAGCTAAGTAACTGTTATGTATATAATGACATATCGTACTGTATATGAAATAAAAGAGAAAGACAGCGAGAGACACAACAAGAGAAAAAGTGTACTTGACGAGTGGGGGAAACACTGGAAGGAAAGGGAATTAGTGATGTATTGTAATAACTATGTTTATCCCTCGTACTGAAACTAAGTAGATTTTATGATGTTGAGTATTCTTGAGTATTGATTGTTTAAATATTTTGTGTCTTCCTGTGAATTGATGGTATTATCCGTAATTTTAATATACACCGACTCTGCGATGCATCTCTTTCTGTAATCAGCTTCTAAATGCATGATTTTTGCATTCTCCCAATCAAATTCATGTTCTGGATTATTCACGATATGGGCCGGTATAGGTAAAAGTTTAAATCTAGAGTTGATTGGATCTTCAATAGTTTTTTTCACAGAATATTTATGTTCACTAATTCTATTTTTGAGAGCTCTTTTGCTTTCACCGATGTAATTCGATGGACATTGTTTACACTGAATATTATAAATTGTGCCTGTTTTTTCCCATTTCTTTAATTTATCTTTGCCTAGACCAATAATATTAGATAGCTTGCTTGTCATTTTTGGTACACATACAATGTTACTCTTCTTTAATGATGATTTGCATTTATAGAAAAATTCTTCTTTAAATGGAATTGGAAAGTAAATTGTCGGTTTATCGTTATTGTTTTTATTACGTGTATTGTTATGACTATATGTATATTTTCTAATGCGATCTCTGATGCACACATCAACAAATTCCTCCGGATAGTCATTGTTATATAACATGTTTCTTATAATAGATATATTATTGTCATGGTGACTTTCATCAGACAACAATATCGATCTATCTATCAAGTTATTAACAATATTCTTTTTTTGTTTTAGTGTGTGATTTGAGTTGTAATTTAAAATACGTCCCGACATAGTTGGTTTTTGGTACCAGTTAGTAATAATCCCATTATTTTTTCTAGTAATTGATAAGTCTAGAAAATTAATAGAACCATTAACCTCTGTCTCATAAGTAAATTTCAAATGTGAATTATAATCATTAAATACTTCGAAAACACGATCAAAGTCAATGTTTCTGATGCACATTAATGTGTCATCCACATATCGGTAATAAAAAATTGGATTAATATTATATTCTTCTTTCAGAAAAACCAAGCATTGTGTCTCCAAATCATCCATGACCAGGTCTGCAAATAATGCTGATAGTGGGTCTCCCATCGAAGTTCCAAATATCTGCTTATAATTTGTATTATTGAAACAAAAATATTCATTGTTGAAAAGAAAATTGATAGTTGTTATGATTTCGTCAAACATCATCAACGATTTTCTATGTAATTTTTGGAACCTCTTGTATATGCTATTAAGAATTAAATATCTAGGTATACTTGTAAATAATGAAACTACGTCGAAAGACACCAGTATGTGGTCCGATGGGATGTGAATGTTTTTGATACGTTCTTTCAATTCATAACTATTTTTAATGTGTGATCTAGGCAAGTCTATGGATTCTTTAAGAACTTTACTAATTAATTTTGATAGGAAATGCGTGGGAGTGTTAACTGTAGATACTACGGGCCTGAGTGGAAAACCATTTTTGTGGATTTTTGGAAGTCCATATGCTCTAGCTAGATTTGTATGTGATTGCGTTAGAAAAAATTGGTTAATATGTATGTTTGGAAAATATTTTTTAATATAGCCTTTGTCATTAAAATTTGTAAGAAAATATTGGACATCTTTTTGCATTTTGGTTAATGTATTATTTTTTTCCCAGATTATGTATGTACTATTGTCTGACAACATCAAATTCATTTTTTCAATGTATTCGTTCTTGTATAAGCATACCGTTATGTTGCCTTTGTCAGCTCTAGTGAAAAAAAGGTTGTTATTATTTTTTAAAAAAATATTAGTGGCTTTGAGCTTTTTTTTGAAGTCTTTTTCAAATCTTTTTATATGTCTTTTGTTGTTAAGACTGGACTTTATATTATTAATCAAATTATTCCTAATATCATTAAAGGAGTTTTCCATGTCCTTATTATGTTTATCTTGTTTTCCACTCAGAATAAATTCTAAATTAGTAATACTGTCTATTATATCCGTTCTACTAAGATCATTATGTATGTTATGATTAGGGCCTAAAGATATTACCTCAATTACCTCATTCGAGATGTATGTGTCCGTAGTGTTTTTGACCCAATTTTCCTTATTATGATTATTTATCTGACGTTTATTCAATAATCTTTTTTCTTTTTCCAATAGTCTGTCATATCTAATACTCAATTTCCTATCCAATTTCCAATAAATTTTGTTTGCTTTATTTTCCGTAAATACTCTAAACATTTCTATGGTGTCAAGGTTTATATTAAAAGAATAGAGAAGGTTAGCAAGGACATTTAAACGTTTCTGGCAATATTTTATATGTATATGTAGATCTGAAATTTCAGTGTTGAGTAATTTTTTTTGAAAATACGACTTTAATTTAGTATATTTTCTATTGTTTGAATTACTATGAAAATTAAAAGTTCTATTAAAAATGTCCGTAATGTGAATAGGAGTAACGTCATTTTTTCTACAGTAAGTAAGGAAACGTAGCCTTGCTTTACAACGAGCCAAATCGTGTCTAAAGGTTGTCCATCTTCTCAAACAATTATGTTGTGCGTTTCCATATATTCTTAAAATGTATTTAAAAAAATTACCCATAATTCCCCAATGGAATCCGATCTTAATTTTCAATCACAGATCGTATGATATAAATTATTGTTAATTTTTTCCACTCCTGATGTTTGATAATTATATTAGTAATCTTGATCTTAGGAGTCGTCCCTATAAATAAACTAAACACTTATTTTATTATAAACGTTTCGCAATTTTATTTATTGCCACCTCAGTACATCTGTTGAATATATATATTATTATAAATAAATGAATTCTTTCAATATTAATATTGTATTATAATATAAACATACGTTTTGTAATGTAGATAAAATTGAATAAATTAAGAGTTCTTCCGCACATACATGGTCTGTTATAAACATTACACTTTTAATTAAATAAATATTAATTTTTCTGTCTAATAATAAATATAAAAATAGAATAACAATCTTTTGTCAGTTAGGTAAAAATATTCAGGATTCTTTTCAGGATAGTTGAAAGATTCGGCGTACTTGTTGCGATCGAGCGGTATTTTCTCGACAGTCCCTTTCAGAATAGTTGAGAATCCCAGTTGAAGTTTCTAGTAATCTTCATCGTCCTCGTGTTCCTGAGATCTATTTTATAATGTCTCCCCGGAGTTGCGTGAACAATCCTAACAAGTTCTGCAACGTATGTGGACTTTATGCTACTAAAAACCAAAGGAGAAACATTACGCCTTCAATCGAAACTGCTTACAAAAACTATTTCGGCTATTTTATCGTGAATGTCGACAAATCGTGGGTGCCAAACACAATTTGTGTAAGTTGCCATACAATATTAAGTCGTTGGAATAAAGACGGCTCTTCGCAAAAATTGCCTTTCAGTTCTCCGATGATCTGGTGTGAGCCACGTGATCATAATGACTGTTACTTTTGTTCTATTGACCTGAAAGGTTTCAACAGTAAAAATAAATCTACAATTTTGTATCTTAATGTCTCATCTGTTACTTAACTAGTTTTACGGGGGACTCTTGTCTGTGAGAAATCATCACCCATAAAGAAAGCAGAATGTTTACCTACTACTTCCAGGAGCCCAGACGAAATAAATGATATCGAGGTGGACGACGAAGATCCACAGTCAGATGATAGTGCACATTTCGATACAACCGAAAGTCCTCAATTGTTTACACAAGCTCTTCTAAATAATTTGGTTAAAGATTTAAACCTGCCAAAAAATAAATCAGAATTGTTAGGTTCTAGGTTGAAAGAAATGAATCTGTTGGCTCCAAAAACAACTTTTTCTTGGTACAGAAACAGAGAGCAAGAATATATCAGATATTTCGCAGAGAAAGATGGATTGACTTACTGTCATGACGCGACTGGCTTAATGACAAAATTAGGCTTGATATACGTCGCTACTGAATGGCGTCTCTTCATCGATTCTTCAAAAAGAAGTTTGAAGGCTGTCCTCCTTCACAATGGAAATAAATATGCTTCGATTCCACTCACCCATTCAGTGTATCTAAAAGAATCTTACGAGAATATGCAGATAGTTCTTGAGAAAATTAAATATGAAGATTATAAATGGCTCATACGTGGTGATTTAAAAGGAATAACTATACTTCTTGAACAGCAGTCGGGGTATACCAAATACCCATGTTACATTTGTTTGTGGGATAGTAGAGCTACTACACGTCATCGGGAAGAATCTAAGTGGGCACTTCGCACGTCTCTGAAGCCAGGATCACACAATATTCTCAAAAAACCCTTGTGTGATCCAAAAAAAAATACTTTTACCTCCCGTCCACATAAAATTAGGATTAATTAAGCAATTCATCAAAGCCCTTGATCAGAATGGAAAATGCTTCTACTACTTATTGGATAAATTCCCAGGATTATCTGATGCAAAAATAAAGGAAGGTATTTTCACAGGTCTGGATATAAGAAAGATGATGAAATCGGCTGATTTTCAACAAACGATGATAAGAAAAGAGAAGGCTGCATGGGTGAATTTTGCAGCGGTTGTAGAAGGATTTTTGGGAAATAGAAAAGTAGAAAATTATCACGTAGTCATTCAAAATATACTTACCAGTTTCAAAGAATTGGGTTGTAACATGAGTTTAAAAGTACACTTCCTGAATTCTCATTTAGATTCTTTTCCTGAGAATCTTGGAGCCTTAAGTGAGGAGCAAGGAGAAAGATTCCACCAAGACATCCAAGAGATGGAAAGAAGGTATCAAGGCAGATGGAATGTTAATATGTAAGCTGACTACTACTGGGCTCTCAAACGTGAAGATGATGGTCTCCAGCATAAGAGAAAGTCAGGAACCAGAAGCCTAGACGAAAGAAGGAAACGATTCCACAAATCAGAAAATTGATAACATTGAAGCATCTGACATAATGTGGTTAATAGCATTGCTATTGGGTAATTAGAGGGTTGCTAGCATTCTCATTGCGTTATTAGGGGCTTATTAGCTTAGTTCATATTCGAGGGTTATTAGGGAGGAAGTATATAGGGGGGGGGGGGCTATTAGGGGGTTGATAGGATTGCCATTGAGTCATTACGCTATTAAGGGGTTCATAGAACCGTTTATATTAGGGGGGTTCTTAGGGGGTTACTAGGGGGGTGATAGCACTGTCATTGCGTCATCAGGGGGTTATTAGCATAGTTCTTATTAGGAGGTTATTAGGAGGGGGAGATATTAAGGGGTTGATAGGATTATCATTGGGTTTTTAGGGGATTCATAGCATAGTTTATATTAGGGGGTTATTAGAGGTTTATTAGGGGGTTGATAGCACTGTCATTACCTTATTGGGGGTTGATAGCATAGTTTATATTAGGGGAGTTATTAGAGAGTTAATAGGGGTTACTAACATTGCCATAGAAATATTAGGGGGTTATTGGTCAGATAAACCATAAATTCGGATTCATTGAATGCATTTTTTGGATTTTACCTTGACCTAACCTTGACTCTGAGCCGACCAGGTCAAACGCACCCCAGATTCGAATTCAGCGACCGCAAAAACCTATAGAAACAGTACCTGTACCAAGATTAATGGGATAATCTTGATTTGACCTTGATCTGAATTTGACCCCTCAGCTAATAGGGTCAAATGAATCGTGGATTCGGATTCAGTGACCCCAAAAACATAAATGTAATGGTATTGCCTTTTGCACTTTTGTTCACATATGACTTTTTCGTGGGGCTGTCATATTTGTATTGTTGGTACTGTTGTTATGAAATCGCTAAAGTGGTGAACTTCATTCGATGATATCTCCGCGAAAAAAAAGAATTGTTAAATTTGAAAAATGCGTTAGAAAGGGCAGAAGCGGTACTTTGAGATGGTTAGATTCGTTTTGAGCAAAAAAAAATGTTTTGCAGTGTAATATAGCTTCTAAAACAGCGGAAATACGTGTTTTTCGCACTTTTAGGTTAGAATATCTCGAAAACGTGACGTGATAGAGCATTTCTGATGCCAGGTTCGTATTCAGCGCATCAGAAACCTTCGGAATATGTTGCTCATGTTCGTGCGATATAAATCATGTTGACCTGTGTTATTGTTCACAATATGTACAGGGATAATAAGCGCGGATTGTCTTTTTATATTCAAAAAATGTAATCTCAATATCAGATGAAATGACGATTTAATGAAACGTAAATATAACAGAAAAATAAAATAAATTTAACGTTATCTTCTACAAATAATGTGCCTTTGTCCTTTCATTTGAAGATACTATAAATTTCTCTCTCTTTCGGACTAGAAAATTGGAAAGGGAACGGTAACCAGCTCGAGGGTTGATGAAATTCGGGTGTAGGAGTTTGGGGCCACAGCGTGGCAGGGTAACCAGCTCGAGGATTGATGATATTCGGGTGTCGGAGTTTAGGGTTACAGCGTGGCAGGGTAACCAGCTCGAGGTTTAAGGAAATTGGGTTCGGGGTGGTAGGCGATTAGGGTAACAAATGAATGCTCTGTTCACTCTCCAATGAAGGGGTAGCAGCCCCTGATGACTGATACTGTATACTTTTGTGTTAGATTTTAAACGGAATTTCATAAACTTCATTTCTTCTGAAAAAATTTTGCAAGAAAATATTTGAAAACATAGCTTTTCTTTCAGGCGACTTATGGGGTTGCAACCCCTGTAGATAAAATCCATATATTTAGCTGCAATTTTTTAAAAGAATTTTTTAGAGTTTGTTTCGTCGAAAACTGTACATAAAATACAAAAATTTCGCTATAAAATGGTGTTGAGGGGTAACTTGCGGGGGTAGCTTTCACCCTCTAAATAGTTTATTCGGCAGAACAAAAGTATACATGTGTTTGGCTTTTTTGAGCGTCATAGAACATGAAATAACCAGCATAATCTGCGATTAACAACTGCTTATATTGTATTAATAACATTAAGGGGTAGTTCACCCTCGAAATAATAGATAAAAGAAAAACCCCGAAAAACGTCAATTTTGTTTTATCATTTTCTACTAGAATATCATTTTTTTAAATTTTTTAACATAATTTTTTGATTTTGTATGGTAAAAATACACTTAAAATACAGTTGTTCCTCTATACAACGTAGGGGTTGCAACCCCCGATGACCAAATTGATGTGTGTCTATTACATTTTTTATAAGTATCTTGTCTTTTTTTGTTTCATAAAGAAATATTCATTACAACTAAAGAAATTGCTATAGAACTGCTTTTGGGGCTGTTTTTTGGGGGTGGGTTTCATCCCTTAGATAGCTTTTTCCGCCGATAAAAAAAATACGGGTCTTTTATTTTTTTACGAACTATAACATATCTCAATTGCAGAAAAATCGAAGCCGGAGGGTTGGGGTGGTTCCCTTGTGAGTTGGAAAATAACAGAAATTATTTAATATCCAAACTTGGTACAAAATTTAAATTGGTAACGTTATTTAGATAGGTTAGTTTTTTATTAGTACTTTCAAAAATATATGGAAAAATTAATCATAACTAGAACAAAACTAATAAAACTCAATAGAAAAAATTATCTTAGACTGTCAACTCGCTTTCAGGTGAAATCACTCCACGACTAACTAAGTAAAAACAGAATATCGTCAGCAGCAAGGAAATCCATTGAGAATAAACAGTATTACTCTGACATATTCCTTGATGTCGCATAGACGTTTAACATGGTTTAGTTGAAAGGCATCTGCATCAACTTTAGAGATGTTTTCTTAAACGTCACAATATTCTACTCCAGTTCTATTTACGAAATGTAACTTATCAAGTTAAAATAAAAATAAAACGTATCAAATCGACAGCTTATAAAAGCAGGAGTACCACAGAGTAGTGTGCTAGGCTCAACACTATACTTGTTATTCACTTCGAACCTATCAGGGTCTCCTGATATCACAACCGCAACATACGCAGATAATACAAGGGTCGTTTGAAAAGTCCGTGCAAAAATGAAAATTACTTAATTTTTTTAATAAATCTTTTTTTATTTTTCATCATAAATTCTTTTAGGCTTGTAACATACACATAACCGAACTCGGTAATACAAATAAAACATAGGATTAAGAGAGCAACGAACCGGCGTAGTTCGCAGATTTATAATAGGCTTAGGGAAAAATATAAATAAGAATCGCATGTGAATTCATCGATAATCAGCAACTTATTTCCTTATTAATTTATTATTTTATTATTTTATTTTAATATTATTATTATTATTTTATTTTTATTATTTTATTTTCTTTATTATTTTTTTATTCCTTCTGCCACCGTTTACCGTTTTTTTTCTCTCTCTCTATGCTTAGCCGCACTTATATTCTTTTCTTTATTGTTTAATGTAACTTCCGTGTTATCGCCAATAAATACTGCGTCTATTGTTCACGCGCGTCTATTGTTCCTATCTTGTCGATTGCTCAAATTTCGCATTTAGGCGTGCGGGTCTAGCGCCCCGACTTGGCATTGGAGCCACCACGGCTCGACAACACCTGGTGGGCGGAAGTCCCGGGTAAGAGACAAGCTGACTTAACACAATTTAGCATTGCGACGAAATAATTTAATAGACGCGACGCTATTTACTTTTGCTGATTTATTTCTTCATTAAACGCTGAAGACGCACGAAGGTACGTATATGTATATACACATATTAATATATACATATAATTATACCGCTCTATGCGTATAGATAAGCGCAGAGAGTTTCCTTTGCTGTCGGTATGTTTAGGGCTACTTCTCGCTAACGTCGATTGGTAAGCAAAACAACTGCTGCTACAAACCCAAAAAGTTTTTCATTGTATGCGTTCCATATAAACGATATTAAGCGTCTGTTCCCGTGCGCATAACAGTGTTACTGTTTCTTTTCTCTTTTCTCACATGCTCGAATTAAAAACGCATTCGTATTATTTATTATATATATGTTATATAATTCTACGCAATTCTTTTGTTTGTTTTTGTTATTATTTTTTTCTATATAATGTGATAAAATGCGATAATTCGTCATATACCTAAGTAATCTTATTTATTCTTTTTGTTTATTTTGAATTATACTCAGCATCTAATACTTAATTTCACGCATAAAGCTTTATTATTATTATTAAAATAATTTTATTTGAGTATTGAGATGGCGACTAGTGTAGGCAATTTTGACGAATTATCGATTTTTAAGGAAAGCATAGAAAAACGAATTGCGGACTGAATTAAAGATCTACCGAGCGACGAACTCGATACAGTTTTACGAAAATTAGAACTACTCGATGAAGGTTCAATGTATGAGCGCGCGAATAGATTATATAAGCGACTTCAAGGCGATTACACCGCGGCGGACTTTGTAGCAACCGCGAACCCAGAAAGCGACGAAACAATACCAGGTGTGTAAACATGAAACCGGAATTTTTCAATAGATGGCGTTACTAGTCAATTAAGGCATCGACACAACTCGTCATGGCGTTATTTACTTGTGTTGACATCTCGCAAACCTTTTGCCGCTACAGAAGTCACCAGTTGCATACAACTGCATGGTTATATTAGCGTCCAAGATGTCGAGTTTTGTGCCGCGAAGCTACGATTTGCGGACAGCGTTGGTTTTCTGTTTCCATTTAAAGAAAACTACTGCGGAGTCACATCGAATGCTTGTAGAAGCTTACGGTGAGCATGCTCTTGGTAAATCATAGTACTTTGAGTGGTTTAAAAAGTTTAAAAATGGCGATTTTGATGTGAAAAATGAAGAACGTGGAAGACCACCGAAGAAATTTGAAAACAACGATTTGCAAGTATTGTTGGACGAAGATGACTCTCAAACGCAACAGCAACTTGCAGATCAACTAAATGTCACACGGGAAGCGATCTCCATACGTTTGAAAGCCATGGGAAAG